GCATAGCCTCTCAAATTCACATGACCATATTTGAAATTAACTTCCCCTACTTCTCAATACATACATACAACAGCATATTATATTTTGTTTGGTGACAGCATGATCTATCACCCCAGCCAGAAATTTGGTGATCTCACATGACTTCACTCTCAACTCCCACAAACCATGGATCATCAATTTGTCTACATTGCTTCATAAACACTCATTGAATAGGTCTTATCTTCTTTATCTCTTTCCTTCCCACTCTCCAGTCTCTTACCTCCAATTGGTCTCTTGTTTCAGGTTTTTTTTTTAAAAAAATTTATTTATTTTTAGTTTTAGGTGGACACAATATCTTTATTTTATTTTTTATGTGGTGCTGAGAATCAAACCCAGTGCCTCGCACATGCCAGGTGAGCACGCTACCATTTGAGCCACATCCCCAGCCCTCTTGCTTCAGTTTTATTGCTGTCAAAACTGTTGTCATCTTTCAGCATGTTTCCCTGAAGATGACATGGAGCTGTCTCAACATCTTTCACTTATCTCTATCCTCTGCAAAGAGCACATCTGTGGTCTGGCCCCTGCAACCCCCCCCCCAATCTTATCTCTCCCTCTCTTGAAATTAGTTACTTAGATCTCTGAACTTGTTGCTGCTTCCTGGATACTCCATGATGGGACTTTGTATATGTTTGGGACCTGACACAGTCTCTTACCCTCTTTTTCCTTTTCCCCCACCTCAATGACTGATTAAGGATCAGATAACACCTGTTCCAGGGAATTATTCTGACCTTTCTATAGCTTCTCCCTTTCATGACTAGGTAAGATATCCCTTACCTAGTCATGTTTCAATTTTTGTATTTATTGCAAGTTAATTATGTTTTAGGGTGTGTCACTACAAGGTACTAAATTTAGTAATGTATCCAACATTCTCTTTCTGATTGTTTCATAATTTGAACAAGTCTACATAGATGACTCCCAAATAAGTTCTAGAGCAAGAATCTGAATATTCATTGTTTGAGCAAATTCATATTGATGAGTTACTGTGTTTGGGGAACCACACTAGGTGCTGGAAATTTAAAGATGAGTAAGATGAGGTCTTTGATCTTTTGCCTAATGAGAGAGAAAACTAATAAATGATTCCCACAAAGGGTGATAGTGCCTTGATGGAGATGTAAGAGAGGAATGTGGGAGCAGAAGAGAATGCCAAGAGCATCTTCAGGTAGGCTGTGGGGGGAGAAAAATCAGGGAAGGCTTCCTGAAAGAGTTGTCACACATGCTGAGTAATAGAGAATTGGTGAGAGTTATCTAGGCAAAGCAATTAAATGGCAGTGGAGTAGATGAATAGACAAAATGGCCTTACAAAGTATGGAAGTAAAAAAGAAGAAGGTGAGTTGTGGAAATTGTCAATGGTTGATGTGATTGGAGCACTGAGAGAAGAAGAGTAGGGGAAGATAAGGCGAGACAAACCAAACTTGAAAATACCAGGCTAAAGAGTTGGAATCTAAAACCAAAAGCTATAGGAAGCCACTAAATACTTTAAATGGGGAGATGATAATGTATGTTTTTTAATAGCTTCTCCTAGCATCAAGGTTGGAAAAAATGGATTGGGAAAAGACAGATAAAAATGAGGGAGACCAATTAGTGACTCTATGGTATACTTCAGAAGACAAATGATGAGGATTTCAACTTAACCAGTGGAAATAAGAATGAAAAAAGAACAGATTCTTGCAAAATTTATAAGAATTGTAACCCACTGGATGAGAA